TCGGTACGAAGTTACGGAAAGTTAATTAACAAACGGAGACGTAACAGCCCTAAAATGTATTGCTAATCCACCGGAAAACTTGTTAAACTGATTCTGTAAAATATAATGCCGCAAATCAAAACATATATATGTGTGAATAGCTCTCTACGAGATCCAGTGGGTCATCATTATTTTCCTTCAATAAGTTCTTTTGAGTTTGCTCCCCAGTGACACAACGGTATGTCTACTGACCTACAACGCTAGAAACCGTGTTTCGATACCCGTGGTGTGCAGAGCACAGATAGCCCATTGTGTAGCTTTGTGCTTAACTTCAAACAAACCAAACCAAACCCTTGAGCTTTGCTTTATATTATAAAGCTATACAGACAATTTGAAGTAGTTTCGGGAATCCTAGAAACTTTGAGAAATAAATATATAAAAAACAATAAGTCTTGCTTTTCTGCACTAGAGTGCGTTGAGTACGTTTGTTATTAGCTGTGAACATGGCTGCTTCCTATAAATTTTTTTCTAATATTAGAAGTTATGCATTGTCATCAGTGCGTTCATATTATTCAGTGAAAGGTATATTAAAATTTTAATATCACCATAGAATACTTAACGTATTTTTAAAATATAGAAAATAAGTTAAGGATGTGGTATAAACTAACTGACGAATATTGTTTGAATTGAAAATAAAGAATACTTACTAACTATAATTAACTTTGTATTAAGTTGTTTACCAGAAACTCTGCTACTGCTCAGATTAAACTTAAAGAATGAGCGAGCCAGCACACTAATATTGAGTAAATAATAATGACATTGACACTATCAGAACACTGAACAGTGTTTTCACTCCCAACACTATGGCACTGATTCCTTTTTTTTTTTTTTTTAGCTTGAAATTCCCAAAGGGAAAGGAACCCTATAGAAATTGATTAATGGGCTGTAACAGTGTAAATTAATTTATTAGCAAATACTACTACTACTAATTATTCAGCTATAATATTGTCCATAGTGAAATTCCCATTATAGCAATCTTCTGTGAAGGATAATA